ATTGTTAGGTGTTAGTTGTGAACAATTCTCCAATAAAAAAATATCAAACTCCATGTGCAACATACCACATTTTTGTCCATTATATATTTATATTATTCTCTCGTTATATTTGTCATAACTCAATGAATATATTTCCCTTTATTTTTGTAAACCCCCCCACCTCAAAAACAACAAAAAATCAATCAAACGTACGCATCATATATCTATGTATGTGTGTGTGTGTTCTCCCACAGCCCAATTACAAAAGATTTGTCAAGAATATTACGATCGTATGTATACTTGCGAAGGCCAGAAATGGGATCTGGAATACGAAGTCAGGAAAAAAGACTGGGAGGTACAGCTATCTATCTATCTAATATTATTGTATAATTCCACAACACTATTTTAGCTAATCAAAAAACCAACTTTTGTTAACGTTTTCCTTTTATATTTTTATATATATACATATGCTAAAGTTAATAGTTTCCGTATACTATATATAAATATTGTATTGATGACAAAAAGCAAAAACAAAACTCAATATTCCAACAATTGCTTTGAACAAAACCAAAATTTTAAAGCTTTTTACCAAAAACAAATTCCCATGGTTTTTCGATTTTTGGTGAACCAAAAAAACCACACACTCCACACACAAAAGCTGTTGCCACACCCCCACAATCTACACAATTGGTCTGTTCCAGAAACTGCAAGAATCTACTAGTTTTGCTATTTTCTTCGATATCATAAAGCTGCAGTTCTGGAACAGACCAAATATATCCCATACCTTTAGCACACAAGACCATTTTGCAAAAACACTCCACCTCAAATTGCAATACCAACCAGTCAATACACTTCCCATTCATATTTACCAGACACACACACTCAAAGCTTTTGAATAGATCCCCTTTCATTCTCTTACATATCCATGAAATTTATCCATTCCTGTAGTCAGTAGAAAGCTTAGTTACATAGAACCAATTCCATAAAGATTTGCGATCCATGCTTAAGTCACATTCACAGAATTCATGGCACAATAAATAGGTACTCCCATGGTAGAAGAATATAGGTTGATGCATCAAAGCTTGGGAACAATGATATGTCAAAATTTTTAAAATGGTTTATGAAAAATAAGTTGATTTCTAAATATTTTTTTATACGACGCAAATCATAGGTTGTTATAAAATGAATTTTTCAACAATTTTTAATAATTTTTCATTCAACTTTTTCAATTCCAAAATCGGTTTGACAGTTCATTGTCCCAGAAGCTGTGTCGATGCGACTACCTTTATTCTTCTACCATGGGTACTTCATATTACACAGCTGATGATCTGACAAGTTGTCAAAATGCATTATTGTGATTGATATCACAAAACGAAAGATCAACATAACCTGTGCAAATTTTGACATTTGCTCTGGTTTCGAAAAAATGCTTGCACAAAAAAGAGTTAAAGTGCAAGTACATAAAACGCTTAAGTTATCGGCTGGTTTCTTCGTAGAGGAAAAAGGAGTTTTTCAAATTGCTGAACTGTTTATACGCCTATAAAGCCATTGTCACATTCTCGAGTTACATTCCTGCGATTCATAAATTCCTGGAAGCAGGTCGGTTATTTTTCTTAAAATATGTACTTAAACATTTCCCAATCCGGCTTCATTTTTCAGAATTGTTTTCTCTTTAAGAGAAACTATTTCCTATATCCCATTTTCATCCAAACTCGAACTAGTTGAGCAAACGAAATCAAATGAACTAGTCCCCATGTTTCCTTCCACTGAATAGTTCCATTTGGCTACTTCCATACGGAAGGTACTTGTTGTTAATGGGAATATGAACAGAGATGTATTCAGATTTCTTTTGGAATTTGCTAGAATATTCTAATCCTAGCACCTCACGATTCACCTCATGATTCAAAAAAAAAAACCGAAACAAAATACGATTTTTCCATATGATATATTTTCTATATAGTTTAATTTATTTTCTGATCAAATATTGTGAAGTTCTTTAGGCATGGACCCAAAAAAATTAAAAATATGAAAATTTTTGAAAAAGAACACAAAGAAAATTAATGCTTAAAAGTTTGGGGATAAAAAAATATTAAAAGGCAAAATATCTGTGTATGCGTTTCGATACATATTTTCATATAATGAAATTAGTTATTAATTGTTAAACAAATGTGTCCTTGCTTAAATTTTATATCTCTATACAGATACATTAAGTTATATTTACAAAACATCGGATATAAGGAATTATAGGAATCAATTTGGGCCTAGAAATAAAAACTTGAGCATATATTTTATTTGAATATTATATTTAGCTTTTCTCATTACCAAGCGCTTATATACTTGATCAGCAATGTATAAACAAGTTTATTTCTGATAAGAATATATTTGTACTCAAAATTTTATTCCATAACAGTTTTCCATTCATTCAACTCTTTCTCAGTTTTATGATTATGCGATTTTCCATTATTATAATTTTTTAGCTTTGATATCAAGTCGTTTTTTTATTCATTAACTTGTATTTGCCCCTTTTTCTTGTCAGTTCAGATTTACTTGTTAATTTTAAAGTATAAATGTAAACGTCTCCGATCCCTGCTTTATTTATCGATAAATATTATCAATTCATACTTTCCATATTATCTGTTATCACAATATTATTGTGAATTAACTCTCTCTCTCTCTCTGTGCCGATAACTATCTCAGTTATCGCCATGAGATGCAAATAATCATGTAATAATTCATATGTGTTGCATACTTTTAGGTTCGATCTCTTTGTACAGAGTTCACACTAGATAAATGAATGGATAGCAAATAATTCTTTCGCTATCTTTTACTAGACTCTAAAATGTTAACAATCTAAAGCATACTTTCAGGGATAACAATTACTTTGCTTTATATTCACAATTATTTAGGAAAAAATTTAAAAAAAACATAAAATTGATCTTTAAACAATGTTTATAAATCTATTTGGTCCAGTTTTCATTTCTTTAATAATTCAGATTTTGCTGATAAGAATTTTTATAAAAATTATAATATAAAATTGCCTTTTTGAAATACAATAATTATCATCCAAATCCATGGCTCTTTCTTGAACACCCCATCAACGCATTATCCCAATAGACTCCACACACACACTCGCACACCAAAAAAAAACACTTTGCGCGCCCACACAGACACGCAACCCCCAAACAACACAAACACGTAAAAACCTACCAATTCGAAATCAATTTTCCAATGCAATTTTAGAAAAAAAAGAATTAATATTTTGAAATTGTTGGATAATGACGTTTGTTTGTATTTCCATAGATGATAATGATGCGATGTGATATTATTATTTTTTCTTTAATAATTATTATTTTTTATATATAAATATCTCAATAATGTTTTGTGTTTTTATTTGTTTATCAAGAGTTTTTTTCTAATTAAACAATTTTGTAAATCATGCTATTCATGAAATCGAAAAAAAAAGAAACCGAATGATAAAAATGAAACACAGTAACACCAAGCACACTTGGCTTTTTGTTTGATTACTTAGTAATTTAGAAAATATTTATTTTAACAAAATCTCAAAAACAAATCTCTTACGCCACCAACCACCCACCGCCATTAAGATCCATTGTTGTTCTTTTATTTATTTTTTTTTTTTTTTTGCACAAACAGAAATCTGTGACAAAAGATTTTGGTTTTTTTCTTTCATTTAGAACATGCATACATAGAACAATAGCAAAAACAAAAAAATAAGAATTAGAAATCCATTCCAAAAATTAAAAAAAAAATATGTAACCGAAAAACGAGTCTTATAAATTCTAAAAAATAAATGCAACAGTATGGCGCGCATTACAATATTTTAAAAAAATAATATTATGTGGAATATTTGTGTTTTATGAAAATGAAATCTATGTGTGGTTTTTTGTTTGTGCCTTCTTTATGCCCTCTTTGGTTAACAACAACAAAATGAAATTAAATCCAAAAAAGCAACCAACCAACCCACTTTTCTATGAATTTTGGCAACTAGCAACACTTTTAACTACAACAACAACAAAAGAATTGAACCGAAACACCCCCTAAAAACCACAACCTCTGCTCCCTTCCTCAGTAAACTGTGTTGCAATTGGCGAGTTTGAGATGCACTTTGTAATCTAATTTTTTTTTTTTTTGTAATTTATTTTGAAAAACACACAAACAAATAAAAACACAAATCATTAAAATTTTCAAATAGCAATTTTACCTCGAGCCACTTTCAGAATTGCAAAACGTAGAAATTATCTGGGATTTGAGGAACATCAACACCAACTATATCAACAAATATTCTCTACTTTTAGTTTCTTCTACTTCAGCGTAATTTTTTTGTGTGCCATACTGTGTGCAGTACCTCGTTTTTATGTTTCTTTTTTTTGCAAAAACTTCACCAAAAATATTCACCAACAATTCGTCACTTTTATAAAAATTTTATTTTTTGTTAAACGTTTCACCTATTTCACTCACCGTAGCGCAAATTTGTTTCGTAAACCAAAACACTTTAGTGTTTTAGTCATGTTTTTTTCTTTCAGTGTTTGGTCTATTGTCACCATTTTTCCATGTTTTGTAGTATCAAAAATTAAAAATGTTTAAAAAAAATGTTATGCTGTTCTAAGTAAAATAAAAAAAGAAAAAAAAATATTAGATAAAACATCCTTATATCTCCCTTTGTTAGTAAACTCGTTATAACCATAACTTTAGATTTGAGTAAAAAAATAGAAACCAAATTGTAAATATGTATGTAAAACTAACCCCCAACTTAGGCCTAGTTAATAAAAAAATACTTTCTCTCTTTTATTCTGTAACTAAGCTTTAAGCATGCCAAGGCTTTGTTTTGTCTTTAACAAAAAAAAAAATAGAAACAAATAATGCATGCTTCAACTAATCACAATGGCTTATTTTTTTTTTTTTTTTTTTGTAAAAAGAAAATGTTAAATGTTTTTTGAGGAATATTTACAAATATTAATCAATTACTTTATTTTCTTTCCAAAAATTTACCCCAACCTTAGATCAACGATCTCAATGCCCAAGTTAACGATCTTCGTGGCAAGTTGTAAGTATTTTTATTATTTTCAAAATATTTTACATTGATATTAATTCATGTTCTTCTCCTTTCAAATATTTTAGCGTCAAGCCTGCTTTGAAGAAGGTTTCCAAGTACGAAAACAAATTCGCCAAGCTCCAAAAGAAGGCTGCCGAATTCAACTTCCGTAACCAATTGAAGGTTGTCAAGAAGAAGGAATTCACATTGGAAGAAGAAGAGAAGGAGGTAAGTTCATTGATTTCACCACAGATTTCTTTATGAATTTCTATAAAACAACAACACATTCTTATATAAAAAAAAATATATCAAGTAGTTTAGCAAACTCTTAGTAAATTATTTATATTTACCACAAAAAACTTCACACAACTCAGTATTCCAATACTTAATTGAACACACGTAGTTTTGTAATCTAAACTCACAAATTAAAGAGCATATGAAATACACGAAACACACTCTCACACACAAAAATACATTTTCCATTGCAAATTTACAAGAAGAAAAATAATAGCTCCAAAATCATGTTAAATGAAATAAAATAAAATAATGAAGTGAATTTATAAATAAATAAATAATTAATTAAGGAATATAAAAATAAATAAATAAATACGATTTTATAAATAAAGAAAAACCGGGCAAAGAGCATATGAAAGAAATATTATGCTCCTCTCAGAATTACACTCTTCTCCGAAATCAAATTCCACGAGAGAACAACAGTTGTGATTAACACGAAAGACTTAAGACACAAACCTTGTTGATGAGTGTCAAAAGTGAGTTGGTGAGAGCTTAACCCACATTGATTTGGGGAAAAACTAAAGACTTAGAATACAAACTTTTTTTTATTCTATATGGCTCTCTCACACACTCATATAAAAGAGTAAGTTCATTAGAATTGTTTTCTAATACAAAGCCAATCATAGATGGGTAAAATCAGCAACCAGACCTCGCTCAACAGTTAAATTTCTCTTTGTTTTTTTTTTTAATCATAAAAAAGAAGCCGTGTTAAAACATAATTTATAATTTTTTTGTTATAATTAATTTTATTAATAATTTTGGACAATATCCAATTTTAAAAATAGTTGAAATGAACGGATAATTATTAAGAAAATTAGAATTGTTATTTTCTCTTAAACAATCTCCTATTTTGGACTCATGTGCTAGCACATGTTTTTGAGCAGTGCTGTTAAAACAAAAGACTTACGACACAAACCTAGTTGATGAGTGTTAAAAGTGAGTAGTTGAGAGATTAGGCCATATTGTTTTGGGAAAAAACTAAAGACTTAGAACACAAACCTTTTTTATTCTAAATGGCGCTCTCGCACACTCAATAAAAAGTGTAAATTCATTAGAATTGTTTTCTAAAACAAAGATTAAAACACACAAACAATTGCGACATTGGCCACATAACTGCCTAAAAATTGCTCTCACTTCTTTCTAATATGTTTTGCTCTTATCAATGCTATATATTTTCTTAGAGCTAGTTTTGATAAGACAGAAACCTTGAAATTAAAAAAAAACAACAACGGGTTTACTCCCTTCTCCCTATAAAGGGAGACCTAAATAAAAATGGTTGCCTAAAACGAAAGACTTAAGACAGCAGGATTTTTCTTCAAAAATTATAAAAACAGAATGACACAGCGACCTTCTCTCAGTTCGCGTCGGTTCGGTTCCTCCCTATATTCGTTATTTTGACGATTTTAGGTACAATATACACCGGAATTATTCCAAATTTCATATTTAAAGTTCCTAATGAGTACTAAAGCCTGTGACAAAAAAATTTCTATGCAGGTCCACGTCTTTGTATATCCTCCTTACATCGGTACCTCACTTTATTCTGTATATTTTAGGTACAATATACACGGGAATTGCTCCAAATTTCGTATTTAAAGTTCTTAGTGGGTACTGCAGCCTGTGACAAAAAATGTCTATGCAGGTCCAGTTCTTCGCATAGCCCCTATAAATGGGTTCCTCTCTATATTCGGTATTTTGACGATTTTAGGTACAATGTATACCGGAATTGTTTCAAAATTTGTATTTAAAGTCCCTAATGAGTACTACAGACTGTGACAGAAAATTATCTACGCAGGTTCAGGACTTCGTATACACCCCATATATCGGTACATCCCTATATTCCGTATTTTATGATTTTATTCACCGGAATTTTTTCAAGTTTCGTAATTGAATATCGTAATAACCTATGACAAAAATTGCCTATGCAGGTCCACATCTTCTTATAGACCCTAATATAACGACAACTCCCTATATTTGGTACTTTTAAGATTTTAACGGATTTTATTTTTTTGAAAATTTCCAAATTCGTTCCAAATGATGGAGGGTATTCAAAGTGTGGCTCGGCCGAACTTACTACTTTTTTAGTTGTTTTTATTTCATTCGGTTTTGACCACTATAAAATATTCATGAAAACTCAGGAAGTAATTTTTTTTTTTTTTTTTTTTTTTTTTTGATAAAAGTTGAACTGCTTCGACTTATTCTTCTTATAAATAGATTGAGAGATGAGAGGTTTGTTTTTAATAAAGACTAAAGAAACAAACTTTAGAATGAGCTTGCAAAAGATTTTTCATACCAAAACTGAAGACCTTATCTAAATGACTGACTGAATGATGAAGTTAAGCCATTTTTACAGTGAAACAAAAAAAAACATATTAAAATACAGAAATAATATTTTTTGATATGTTTTAAAACATCGCACATTGGCTTTAAATTTCTGAAAATTTTCATGATTTTCGGAAAATTATTAAAGAACAACACATTTTTGATTCATTTGTATCACACCCAGTAATTAGAAATTTGTACTTCGTTTCTTTCACAATATTTCAATACAACACAGTATATTTTCCCCCAGTACACTTTTCAACACAGTACAATAATAGTAATCGTATTTTTCCATCACATACTAATGCCAATATTTTTCTATTATTATCTATAGAAAAAGATTAAAGATAGTGTATTAACTAAAGCCAAAAAGTGTAAGATATCAATTTTGCAAAAATCAAATGAGTGTATTCTATGTGAATTGTAAACACCTTCAATGTGTGTGTCTCGATAAAAAAATCACTTGTTTTAGATCTCTAGAATGTCTTATGTAGATGTCACTTTAGTGAAACCCAAAAATAATGCACAAAATTTTATTTATGTTTGAAACACCTTTTCTAGCACAAAAGAAATGTCCACTTTTTTCAGAAAAAAAAATATTCTCTAGGTTTTATACCTTGTGTTGTTTGTTCATCATTTTAGAATAGTTTCTTCTAGTCACTTTTTGTTTAATGTTTTTCTATTTAAAAATCAAAATGAGATTATTAATATATTACATTTTTCCACACTTGCAGAAGAAACCCGACTGGTCCAAGGGCAAACCTGGTGATGCTAAGGTAAAGGAGGAAGCTGAAGTTGAAGCCTAAGTGTTCCCGATTTATATTACTTTTGACCGTATCCCGCCCTAATTTTTAAATAAATCATTTATAATTTTTTTCAACAAATATGTACATCTAAATTTATGAAAAAAGAAAAAAAAACATCAAAAAAAAGTTCACAACATTTTTATTTTCTAAATACAAAAAAAAAAAAAAAACAAGAACAAAAAAAGCAACAAATAAATCATAACTACATCAGGCCTTTCCAAGTTTCTGTAAATGGAATTCCTATTTATATATTATTTGCCAATTTTAACCGGCCACACTTTCAAAACCCTTCCATGCTTACCTGTCCACCCCACACAATTTAGCATGTATTTATATGAATGGTGAAAACAATAAACCTGGCACAATTGTTAAAGAATCATCCAAGTGAGTGCACTCGCCTTGTGGCCTGTGGTCCCTGTAAATATGCCACAAAAGCTTTGCAGCTCATTTCCACCAACACCACCACCTCCACAATGATTTAGTTGATTTTGTAAATAATAGTAATTTACACTTCTCTTTTTCCACAAAAAAAAACAACAACACAAACAATTTGTGTCCATAGGAACATGCTCCAGAAACACCGGCTCCAGCTTAATTTGCCAGCAATTGCAAATAGGAAATTTAAAATTATTAGTTTTTTTTTCTGCTGTATTCAGTGCAAATTCTTTACTTTTTAAAACAACAATTTTATTACCCAAAAAAATAATGTAAAAATTATTAACAAAAAAATAAATTATTTTAAATACCTAGAAAAAATTTGGTGTTTTATTTATTATTTTTTATCAGGATAATTATAGAATCGAAAATAACAAAAAAAAATAAATTATGTTTTTAGAGAGAATTAAAATTTGCAAAATATTCTTTCTCAATTAAAATGGGTCTTCTGAAAGTTCAGTTCAAAAGATCGAGGACACAAACATTCTCTATAGGCTAACCTGTAACTCTGAACATACATAACTCAGGTTTATCTCCACAAAAGACTAGTTTACACGTCATTTTAGGTCATATCGTAACATCACTCAAAGAGAGACATATCTTAAAAATATCAGTTTCGAGAAAAAGTAATTTTAAGCTGTCGATTGAAATTTGTCTTCCGAATCAAAAAGATGATCACACAAAATTTAATGTAAAAACATTGATAATTAATTGCAAGAAGTCATTAGAAACCTGTAATAAATTTCAAACATGGTATGATGTAAATATCTTCAAAAATATGACTAAACTAACTAAATCACCTTAAATCTGGTGGTACTGTTATAAGGGAGCTATATCACAATGTTGACCTATATCTCCCATTTTCAAACCAACAATTCTGCAGACCTAAAATGCATCTCAACAACTTTATGAATCAACTTAATTTCTTTCGGAAACTAGCGTGATTTACATAGGCGAACGGACATCGTCATAGAATCTTATGCTGATTAAGGAGATATATATATACTTTGTGGGATCTAGATCTAAAATGTACGATGGAGGGTATAAAAACTGTAACTCATTGATCTCCAAAAATATTAATATGACAGATAAAAAAGATTAGTAGAATTAGTAGAAATAAAAAAATAATTAAAAAAAACGCAAGTATTGTCTTCATATTTATTTTTGGTAAATTTGTAGCATACTTTTAGGCGCTCCCCAGACTTTATACCTTCAGCCATATAGCTAGAGAGGGTATAAATCATTTGATACGGGCAAACGCGTCTCATCGAAATAACAGTTTTAGACCTAGGTCTCTGTGGACCAAATCCGTGTGAAGATGAAGATATATTGGTCTACTCCTTGTGGTACCTCCCCCACCAAATTGTCAAAATTTTCAATATCCTTGAAGCTCATAAAACGCAAAATTAACATCCGATTCCATTCCAACTTGACACATCTAAATTTTTCCACAAACACAAGATCTGGTTTTAAATTGTAGAGATCGGAAAATTAAAATAACTAAAACGATCATAAAATCCGAAATAAGCATCCTGTTCTCTTCAATTCCTTCTGGAATACTTCGGTCGAGTATATCTGGTGCCTCACACACTATTACCATTTTATAACCAGTAAAGACAGTCTTAAATTCGGGCGGGACCGACTTTATGATACCCTACACCACTTTGCTCATTTAGTAGAGCTCCACATAACAATTAAAAGTTTTTATGGGAGAATTCAATCATACACGCTATGATTATAATTATAATTTAAAATTCAAAACACTAAATATGCCGAAGCATTTGTATCTTTTAAATTTGGAATTGTATTGCCCATTTGGAGCACAATTAATTTGAAATCTGATAAAGATATATATGGGAGCTATATCCAAATCTGAACCTATCTCGATAAAATTTGGCAAAGATATTTCTGAGCTGTATTTGATATATTTCCTGAATATCGTTGCATTACGTTGTTACGTTGCATATTACGGCTGTGGGTAACAAATATAACAAATCGGATGAACAACATATATGGCATACTAAATTTGACATACTAGCTTCTAGACTCAATTCGGTCGTAAGTGCCAAATCCCATCCCATTGGGACAAATGTTAGACGTTTGGTGCTCAATAAAAGGTTAATCGGAGGAAGTTATATATGAGAGCTATATCCAAATCTGAACCGATCTCGATAAAATTTAGCAAATGTATTTCTGACCTGTATTTGATATATTTCCTGAATATCGTTGAATTACGTTGTTACGTTGCATATTACGGCTGTGGGTAACAAATATAACAAATCGGATGAACAACATATATGACATACTAAATTTGACATACTAGCTTCTAGACTCAATTCGGTCTTAAGTGCCAAATCCCATCCCATTGGGACAAATGTTAGACGTTTGGTGCACAATAAAAGGTTAATCGGACGAAGTTATATATGGGAGCTATATCCAAATCTGAACCGATCTCGTTAAAATTACCAGATGTATTTCTGAGCTGTATTTGCTATATTTCCCCAAATATTTTTGTTACAGAGTGCATATTACGGCTGCGGAGGACAAAAATAAAAAATCGGATGAATAACATATATTGGAGCTATAGCTATATCTGAGCCGATTTCAAATTTGGCATACTTATTTTTAGACCTAATTTGATTGTATGTGCAAAATTCGATACTATTCGGGCTGATATTACACGTTTGGTGCACAATAAAAGGCAAATCGGACGAAGACATATATGGGAGCTACATCTAAATTTTGACCGATTATCTCCAATTTCAATAGGGTTCGTCCTTGGGCCAAACAAACGATCTGTACAAAGTTTCATCTGGATAAGGCAATAAATGCGACCTGTACTTTGTTTACAAAAATACATGGACAGACAGATGGACGGACGGACATGCATAAATCGACTCAGAATGTGATTCTATGCAGATCATCAAAAGGAACTAAGGGTCTATCTTGTTTCCTTTTGCCTGTTACAAACAAATACACAAAGACATAATACCCTGACCACCTTGTGGTGTAGGGTATAAAAATTATCACATTTCTCATATATAGTGAAAGAAGTCACCAATATAGTCCAAACATGGCACGTCGCAATATTTATATCATATTTATTTAGGTCCAATACAAAATGGACAATATTGGCCCATTGCTTCGGAACCTTCTCCAAAGAGGTTCAACAATTTGACTTATCATAACAGAAGTCAGAATATATTTAAATAATCGAACTTTGGCTGAGGGTATACATCTGTCGGCAAAATCGACTGATACTTTTTAACTTGTTTTTTTTTCCTTTCGATGAAGTGGAAATGACTTCTTTTGATTCTTTGCTAATATCAACACGGCATCAGAGCCGTGTCACCTCAAAGTAGACAATTCGTTGAATATTACGATCTGCAAAATTTGGACCATATCGGGAATTTTTCTTTGGATGAGAAATATATTCCTCTTCTAAACAAATGTAATTGTAATGATATAAAATAAATGGGTTCTATGCCGATATATGCGGTGGATACAATATCTTGAGAGTGAAAAGTGAGTGAAAGGAGCAATTTTTGACAGTTAAGTCACTGAGAGTTTGTATCCCCACTGATTGAGAATCAAGTGTTTGTTGCTGATGTGCAAAATGTTTTTAAAAATTTGCGCATAAATTTAAATATTTTTAATTGATTTTCAGAAAATAACTATTGAATATTGTCAATATTACGATGAAATAAATATTTTTCAATAACGCAATTTCGGTTCGATTTTTTTTTAAATTAAATGTATTATGTAAAAGAATAAGAAAATTCTCTCAGTACAAGTTCCTTAATAATTTTTAGGTTAGATTCAGGTTACATTCTGACCAATGGTAGTCAAATAAGTTATCTTAAATGCATAATTATTACCCATAACTCCTGAAAAATGTTCTTCACAGAGTTCTTTGTTATAAATGAAAACTACAAAATATCCTTTCTTTCTTGATCAATGATCATCAAATTCTTATAATCGATTTATTTTCCGCTTGAATATATTGTATTTTAATTTTCGAATAAAATGCTGCATTTAAAATATATATGTATAATAAATATAAAACAAAACATACTCTTTGAGAAATATGTTTGTATGCACTGTGATTGCAGTGCGTATTATATAAAGGAGTGTGTGTGTGTGTTGGTGTGTCTATATCATGGATTACAATTAATATTGCATATAAGTGAGTATCATGTAAATATATATGAGTACATATTTATTTTTTTTTTAATTTATTATGTATTTTATCGTCTTAAATGTAAATCATGACTAGTCATAGTCGTCATCATCACTGGCCTCCTCTTCTAGCTGGAGACAATGACGATTATCCAATTCTTCCAATTGCACTTCGATAAACTCTTCATTTCCCACCCCGACATCACCACCACCTCCAGCTGGCATGACGGGATTGCCTCCATTGTTTTCCCCTCGTTCATCTATTAGCTGATCAATGTGATGCTAAAATGTCTGGGCATTACGACAAACACCACACCCTAAGGCAAACTCCTCCCCGGTGGGTGGATGTATAACATGCAGGGGACATTCTTCACCCATTAGCTGCTTGGCCTTGGGACCGGCCGGGCATTGTGGTAACTTATTTTTCGGAATATTTGTAAGTCTCTGGAAATCATCATGGCAAGTATCACAGAAATGTGTGGTTCCAAAACAAAAGAACACCGCCACCGAACAGCAATAACGACATTTGTATTCCAGGAAATCGGTGCCATGTTTGGGACACATTTGAGCTCGTGCCACATCGGAGCAACCGCCACATACCAATTCTTCAGGATTGAATTTCTCACCAATTTCCACATCACAGCGGGCCTCGCCGCCATAGTAGGCCTTTTGACATTTAAAACAGACATAGTAGGCATACCGTTCCATGGCCAGATTTGTTAGGTCACGATTTTCGGTGTCCTTAACAATGCCCTCATATTTGATGCTGTAAGAAAAGAGAAGTCATTTGTAAGTAAATATATTTTAGAAAGTTGGAAAGATCTGCTGACAACTTACCGCATTTGGGCTTTGCGTTTCACATCCTGTTTAAGGGCATTAATGGGTTCCAATATTTCCGCCAACATGGGGTGTTTAATATCAGCCTTACAAATAGGACACAGCGAAAAGCCGAAAGTAATACGTGGACCACTCCAACGTTTCTCCAACACAGCCTTGCAGCAGTGATAATGGAAAACATGGCCACATTCAAGCTGAAATAAATAAAAATTGAAATTGTTTAGACATTGAGTTTTTCTTTGGCAGTTACTTTCGTATCGTCATCCCTAGTATCCCTAAAGTTGGGGCCATTTGGCTGAGGGTTTCACAAAGCAAAAGATCTACTTGTTATTACCTCAGCATTTTGGTTACCCCTTTTAAAACCAACACTCAAAAAGTAGATTCCCACAAAAACCATTCAACACCTACCTGTATAGATGGAGCACAAGCCAACGCCTCGACAAAACAAATCATGCACATATCATCGGCATCCTGTGTTAGCTTGGGTTCATTCAAACCATCTGCCATGTTATTCTCCCGCGCATGACAGACATGTTGCAGACATGGCAAACATTTCTTTTCATTGACCACACCGCCACAGACATGACCACAGGGTTTGGTTTTCATGCATGAATTGGAGGCATATTCCTGGCACTGGGCATCGGCACAGACATTACCAATTTCCAAGAGACCAGAATTTCCAGTTATGCCACAGAAACGGCAACGACCCACAGAATCTTGGGCACCCGAAATAATTGTATGGCTGCCATCACGGAATTCCACCATGGCTTTGAGGGTTTTTGAATCGGCCAAGGCCAGAAGCCAAAAGAGTTTGGTGCGACCACAGGATTCGTGTAATTCCACTCGTATGGCTTCCTCCTCTTCCTTGCAAACCTGAAACCACAAAAAATTTGTTAATTTATTCTGGAAATATCAATAAAGAATTACAAATTCCTACCGTCCTCTTATGGGTCCTTGTCTTGCGATTCAAATGCAAAAATCGATCACAGTCTCCACACAGAGAACCACAATTCTCACATTGTATAATGGCGGATGTTTCACCATCATCATGATTGCTACACATGGGACGGGTATCGGATATGGTCCATTGGCCAGAGGATAACTTTTCCACATGATCGTTATCGAGAACACATAAACTGGCCAAGGCCAACCACAAGGTGGCTGTTTTCACGCAATTCTCAGGGCTACGGAAGATCTCATCCAAGCGGGTTAAATTCAAAACAGCCTCAGCAATGGCGGCCTTGGTCATTTGGGACCATTTCTCACCCAATTTACCCTAAAAAGGAAAGAAAAACACATTTTTAATTTCTTCACCTTAGAAAGTCTTCAAAAAACTTACCGTTGCCAGATCCCTTATCAGGGCAATAATACTTTCCGCCTGTTTGGTGGGTATGACACCATTCAAGAACCATCGCTGATTTAGATTCTTGGGAGCTTCTCTTTTTAGCTCCCGGTTATGGCCCCTTACCCCCTTCATTTCCATGGACCGTTCATATTCAAAACTGTATTCCGGACGAGAGAAGGTATCTTCCACCTCGACATTGATGTTTTCCGCACTCATATGCATTTTCACCGGCTTCAAAAGATGCACCGACAAATCCAATGAATTGTAGAGACGTACAAATGCTGGTGTCTTCTCCATATTAGATTTACCTCCTGCACTCTTCACCTTAACCTGTAACTGCAGAGACTTGGCAATAACTGCCAGGAATATATCCAACAGACCCAAGCTATCCATATCAAAATCAATGGCAATTTGATGGGCAATATTGTAATCGGATGGTGGCAATCGCTGTACTCCCAAAATATCAGCAAATGTGGCTGGTGATATCTCCGGCAGGATGCGTCTTAACAATGCCGTCACTTGCCTCTGTACCCTATCACTTCCGGTATGTAGCAGACTCAACAAATCCTTTATCAAACCATGTTGATGTGAGAGATAGGACCTTCCCACAACGCTGCCAGATAGAGCCAATACCATGCTAAGCATTTCAAAGCAATAGGTGTCGGCGGTACGTCCACCACGTTCTGAATTGCTATCGCCTTTCGACTCCTGGCCATTTGACCCTGTGCCATTGGGATCACGAAGAGAATTTGCCAAATTCACCGCATCCCAATCTTCACGAGCCCTTCGCGCCTCCTTCTTGATAGCATGTACTATGTGTACTATCACCTGTTTTTGCAAATGCGATAGCTTGCTGCGTGAGAACAATATTCCGACCATATGTTCACGCAAGTCCAACGAATCTGCCAGTATGGAATTGGCACTGGTATCCATGCCCAGGGCATTTTGAGAATGACTTTTACCCAGCACCCCACCATTTTCATCACTGGTCGGCTCAAGGCTGATCAGCTTGCCAAAGACTTGACCTGGAAAAGAGGAGCAAAAAAGATCGTTAAAAATAAATACAATGTAGGGAACTATAATTACGTATTAGGACTGGGTCGAATTTGAGTGTAAAGTTAGTCGACCGTTAGAAATTAAATTGCCAATAAGAGGGAGCCTACTTTAAGATTATTTTAGAAGGCCAATCAAAGACATAGAAGTATAAAGATGGGACAAGACAGCGTCAAAATGTTGTCACCAGGTGTAAATGCCTCTGTTGTTACGATATCATAACAACATAATCACCAGTGTTAAGTTGTTTTAACAGCAAATGCAATATTCAAACGTCAATGAAATGCAATTTTTAGTTCAAATTTTTGGTTTACAGAAAATTTTATTCTTAAAATTGCACAGTAAATATAAGTTTTATGCTAACATGTCACTGTTGTGAGCAGCGCCTCTATATATTTTTCACATTAACTATTTTTCCTCCTTTGAGCAGAGGAGTTATTCGACCGTTGGAAATTAAAATACCAAGCTGTGACCAAAAGTTATTAAGCCGCCCATGGTAAGGAGGCCTCTATATTGGTATATTAAATTATTTTAAATGGCTAATGCAATATAGGGTACTATAGTGACGCATAAGGCTTGACAAAAGGAAGGTAATTGGACCATTGGATTTGAGTTAACTTTACTTCCCACGATAACCACAAATTAAGAGATGCTATGATGCAGGGAACTATAGTGACGGGTGAGGAATGCATCAAATTTGACTAGTGGTAAGTAATTTTAAAACTCAAATACCAAGTGAAACCGTTTTTAGTACTTTTAATTCCTTTAAGGTGAGAATACATAAAACGCTTTACTAAATGGCTTAAGTCATCGGCTGGCTTCTTCGGAGAAGGACAAAGAAGCATAGGGCCGAAATTGACCTAAAGCTGGGAATACATAAAGCGCTTATTTGGCTGGCTCAAGTCATCGTCTGGCTTCTTCTTAGAGGAATAAAAGAGGTTTAGGTTGACTTAGCTCGATTTTGGCCCTAGGCTCCTTTGTTCATTTCCGAAAAAGCACGCCGATGACTTATGTCAGCCAAATAAGCGCTTTATGTATTCCCACCTTGAGTCAAATTTGACTGGAGGTAAGTAATTTTAAAACTCAAATACCAAGTGAAACTGTTTATAGTCCTTTTAAGTCCTTTAAGGTGAGAAGGTATAAAACGCTTTTTTGACAGACTTTAAGGTTGACTTAGTTCGATTTTTAACCTAACCTCTTTTGTTAATCTTTAGCTCTAATAAAGGTCAGAATACATAAAACGCTTTTCTGACTGACTTAAGTCATCGGCTGGCTTCTTCGGAGGAGGACGAAGAAGCATAGGGCCAAAATTGAACTAAAGGTGGGAATACATAAAGCGTTTATTTGGCTGTCTTAAGAAATCGTCTGGCTTCTACGTAGAGGAATAAAGAGGTTTTAGGTTGACTTAGTTAGATTTTGGCCCTAGGCTCCTTTGTTAATATCCGAAGTAGCCAGACGATGACTTATGCCAGTCAGCGGTTGAAATGTGGAGGCGGTTTTGGAAATCTGTCCTATATTTATACGAAAACTACTAAATGATACTGAATTGGATATTGGTTGAAGAGATAGGGCTGGAATCCTCAAAGTTCTACTAAATTGGGTATTTATTGAAGTGATAGAGTTGGAATCCCAATTTTTGATATTTAGGTCTCTGTTGGTGTCAGCGGTTAAGATACGTAGAGAGTTTTGGAAATACCACCTGTATTGGTACGAAAACTACCAAATGATACTAAATTTGGTATTGGGTGAAGGGATAAGACTGGAATCCCCAAATTTGATTTTGAGGTCTCTCTTAATATCCAGTGTTGATATAAAGTGGTGGGTTTTCAAATACGTATTAAATTCGTGCGAAAAGCACTATGTGGTACTAAAATATGTATTGGGTGAAGGACTAGAGCTGGAATCTCATAATTTTGAGGTCTGCCTTATCTATAGCAATTTTACAGGAAGGTACCAGTAGGACCATATTCGAAAATGTTGTTATCTTGAACGATATAGGGACCTTCTGTAGTTGTAAAGAAGTAAAAAAGCAGCGGCAGGGCCGAACTTTTAATCCACCTCCACCATTTCGAAGAAACTTAAAAAATTAAAAAAAAAATCCGAAAACTACCATTTAAATGAAAACCGTTATGTGGGGACTATACGAAGACGTGGACCTGCATACGAAAATTTTTGTTATAGGATGTAGTGCCCATTACGAACATAGAAATTTGTTACAATTACGGTGAATAATGTCGCAAGAATAATGAAAATACGGAGTATCGGAAGGTACCGTTATATGGGAACTATACGAAGACGTGGACCTGCATACGTAATTTTTTGCCTTAGGTTGTAGTACCTATTACGAACTTCAAATACGAAATTCTAAATAATTCCGGTAAATAATGTCGCTAAAATTATGAAAATACCGAATATTGGGAGGTACCGTTATATGGGAGCTATACGAAGACGTGGACCTGTATACGAATTTTTTTTGCCATAGGTTGTAGTGCCCATTAGGATCTTCTAGTACGAAATTTGAAACGATTCCGGTGAATAATGTTGCTGAAATCATCAAAATACCGAATACGAAGACGTGGACCAGCATACAAACATTTTTGTCATAGGCTGTAGTACACATTACGAACTTCAAATAAAGAGGGTAAAAAATCATATAATCTAAATAATTCTAACGTTTTCAGGAGGTACGAACTTAAACGTCCTGAAAAAGATTTCATTTAAAGAGTTGTGCGATCTAAAACGATTATTTCGATGTGCCTATTTCTGGCTATTTTAGTGTACTTTTTCCGATCAAGAGAGAAAACATGATGTTTAGAGTCATTTTGAATATTAAACATAGTCGTCTATAAAAATTTGTATTTTTTATCTCTACCAAAAATTTGAAAATATTCTTAACCCTTCCTAATTCTCAACTTACCCGTTATCAAACGGAACACCCTCAACGTTTCCGCCTCGCATATTTGCTGCTGTATCCTCACGGCATTTGTCAATTTCATGTTGTATTTAAATGCCTGACCCTGTGACGTATTATTCACCGCCAAATCATAGGGATTCGTCAACTGATCCGCCGAACCACACATCGCAGCGGGTAAACCTAAAATTTTTATTTGCCGCACTCGAAGAGTATTTTCCGGTCCAGTGAACTCCAAACGGAAGTGAGTAAAATTATCATCGTTGATTTTTGTCGATATCCAGGTGCAGGCCTTGGCATCAACTTCCACGTTCTTAATGAGACTTGTATCGCCCAAGGACTGGCCCCCATAGAAGGCCACCGAAGATACCTTATTTTGGATGTCACGACTATTGTCGATGTGGATGAGCAACATTTTACAACAATAGGTCAACTTGTTCATGGATATTTCAACAATTTTACTCTTGTTGCGATCCTCTTCATCGCTCTCCCAAAAGGTCTCCGTGGAGTTGTCAGTCAAAGACTCCGCCATGGCTTGGCGTGAGGAGACGGTGATATCGAAATGGCCGTTTAAGTCACTGTAATAAATAATCTTCCCTCCTGCATCGGGTATTGAATAGATGTCCTTTCCCAGCAGCTCCTTGCTCTCCGCATCCTCCGACATGCCAAACACACCCGGCGATTCATTTTGTTCATCCGATTTCGAGAGGATTTTCGAGATGTTACCAAAAACATGGGAGCTATGCAAGAATTGATGATCCGTTTGACGGAAACGTATGCCAAAACATTGTATGGCAATGCGTTGCAGAGGCGACCCTAGTGGGAGGTGGAGCGTCAAATCGGCCACCGATTGCAAGAAGGTGTGCAGACTTTCGGTAATCATGTGTGACAAACGGCCACTTATTTGGGTATAGGACACGGGATGTTCCAATGCCGGTTCTAACTCATCAAATTTGCCATCCATGGGATCAGAGCTGGCGGACCCCGTGATACTCAGCGAGGACACAAACCACCACATTAGATCATGCAAGCACACACTTTGTGTTACAGAACGCAATAGCCAATTCAATGCCTGCAGTGAGTAATTACGACAGGTGGCAATGCGCAGACTTCTTTTCATGGCACTCCGTAACTTCTTGAGATCATGTTTCTGGGTCATAAATGCCATGGCTGGCCTCTGCAGCAGGGCATTGACCTGATTCATCGATTCATTGTCGCAGTTGTTTCTTTGATTTTGTTGTTTACTAATTTCAAAATCAAATTTACAATCCTTAGACGAATCATTTGCCAGTGGATCTCCTCCCCCAGCCTCGGGGAGATTAGAGGAGGTTTTTAGTACCACTGAGGTGGCGGTCAGCACATGATCGGGCACCAAACGCCTCAAATTCTCCGATGGATAGCAAATCAATAGAGAACCATCGGAATCGATGGTGGAATTACGTTTACGAAACACCACCTTCGGATAGTAGGGCTCCTCGCGAACATTGCCACCACCACCACCGCTCTGCTGTTGCACTGCACCCCATCCCTGGCCCATGGAATAGCTGCGATGAAATTTCGATAGGGTTCCCGTGCTCGAAGTCATACAACTCGGGGGATTTGGTTGATCGAAATTTGGCAAATCCGATTCATAGGAAATCTCCGAGAGGGGCTGAAAGAGAAAACGGAAAGAGGTTAGGGATTTTGTACCAAAACTGAAAAGTTGTATCAAAAAGGCAAAAAAAATAAACACTAGACGTAAAAAAGTATTAGAAAAGAGGGAACAACTCTAAAATTGTTCCAGAGGTAGGTATTTTCGCCCTGATCCCGGGAAACTATATTTTTCTTGGGGGACGGACCCAGGACCCCAGATTTTTGACCCGATATGGGTATCGATTGAAAGCTTATGGAAATACCTATCCATATCGGGTAATTGGATCCGGGTCTAGTCGGGGTCTTGAACCCGGACTTGAACCCGGACTTGAACCCGGAATCTGGGGTCCCAGGTCCGTCCCCCAAGAAAAAAATAGTTTCCCGGGATCAGGGTAAAAATACCTACCACTGGAAAAAATTTCGAAAAACTTGAAGAGTTTTTACTAAACTAGAGTTAAGCCGAAAAGAGTTTGGATCCACAATTCTGTGCTATTAGAGCTGGAATCTATTTGGATCAGGAAAAAATGGGGTGCTGCTTCTGGATATTCGTACTAAAAGGTCCCTAAAATATATTATACCCTCCACCATACTATGGAGGGTATATTAACTTTGTCATTCCGTTTGTAACTCCTCGAAATGCTCATGTCAGACCCAACAAAGTATGAGTATATATTCTTGTTCAGCGTAAAATTCTAAGTCGATTTAGCGGTGTCCGTCTGGCTATCTGTCTGTCTGTCCGTCTTCCTGTTGCAATCACGCTATCTTTCGAATGATTTGAGATAGAAGGTTAAAATTTTGCACACATGTTTCTTTTGCCAGTAGGCAGGTTAAGTTCGTAAATGGGTCATGTAGGTCTACGTTTTCATATAGCCCCCATATAACGGTACCTCCCGATATTCGGTATTTTGAAGATTTTAGCGACATTATTCACCGGTATTGTTTCAAATTTGGAATTTTGAGTTCGAAATGGATACTACAGCCTAAGACATAAAATTGTTTGTGCAGGTCCGCGTCTTCGTATAGCCCCCCAAATAACGCTACCTCCCGATATTCGGTATTTTGATGATTTTAGCGACATTATTCACCAGAATTGTTTAAAATTCGGTATCTGAAGTTCGTAATTGATACTACAGCCTATGACAGAAAATTGTCTGTGCGGGTCCACGTCTTCGTGTAGCCCCCATATAACGGTACCACCCAATATTCGGTATTTTGATGATTTTAGCGACATTATTCACCGGAATTGTTTCAAATTTGGAATTTTGAGTTCGAAATGGATACTACTACTAAGACATAAAATTGTCTGTGCAGGTCCGCGTCTTCGTATAGCCCCCATATAACGCTACCTCCCGATATTCGGTATTTTGATGATTTTAGCGATATTATTCACCGGAATCGTTTCAAATTACGTATTTAGAGTTCGTAATGGGAACTGCAGTCTGTGACAGAAAATTGTGTGTGCAGGTCCTCGTCTTCGTATATCCCCCATATAACGGTACGTCCCGATATTCGGTATTTTGATGATTTTAGCGACATTATTCACCGGAATTGTTTCAAATTTGGTATTTGAAGTTCGAAATGGATACTACAGCCTATGACAGAAAATTGTCTGTGCAGGTCCACGTCTTCGTATAGCCCCCATATTACGGTACCACCCAATATTCGGTATTCTGATGATTTTAGCTTCATTATTCACAGGATTTTTTTTTAAATTTGGTATTTGAAGTTCGTAGTGGATACTACAGCCTATGACAGAAAATTGTATTTGCAGGTCCAGGTCTTCAGCATATCCCTATATTCGGTATTTTGACGATTTTGGGTACAATACCCACCGAAATTGTTTGAGATGTCGTATTTGAACGTCGTAATGAATGCTACAGCCTGTGACAGAAATTGGTCTATGCTGGTCCAGCTCCGATATAACGGTACCTCCCTATATACGGTACTTTGATGATTTTAGCTACATTATTCACCGTTTATTTCAAGTTTCGAATTTGAATATGGTAACGGCTTATGATAAACAATACCTATGTAGGTCCCCGTCGTATACACTCCAATATAACTACTATCTTCGGTATTTTTAAAATTTTAACAGAATTTTTTAAGAATTTTATTTTTTGAAAATTTCCAAATTCGTTCCAAATGGTGGAGGATATTCAAAGTTCGGAACGGCCGAACTTACTGCTTTGTAAATTGTTTTATTTCTAGCTATTACCGTTTTAGTACCTTCTGGTACTTTTAGTAGACTTTTGATTCGAATTTCCAAAAACCCAGCCTTATCTCAGCCCTACACATAATAGTTGACCCCCGTGCTAATTTTCAAGATTCTATTTTTAAAAGTTTCTCTTTGTGGCATTAATGAATCAGACGAATTTCAAAATTCCAATTATTCGTTTGAAACTGAAAGTTTTTTCAATTAAAATATTCAAATTTGCAACTGAAATTCTTCGAATTGCCTAGAACATTTTCAAAATTCTCCTTACCCTATCGAATCCACCACCATCATTTGGTCCCATGCCAAATATTTCATAAGGCAAGTCATCCTTATTTGCCGAACCAAAAGTTTCCAAACAGGCAAATGTTTCTGGGGCCAACCAGGGATGCTCTGGAGAGCAGGAGCCTCCTGTAAAACTCTTGCGGAGCAACACATTTCCTACAATAAAAAAAAGAATTTTTATTCTCTTTAATTTCCAAATAATTTATCCACTTCAACTCACCTCCAAATTTATTGGTAATCCTCAGGCCCACACGACTGTGACGCTGCTGCTGGGCCGCATCTCCCCGACTGGTGCTGGGTTTATTCATTTCGCTAATGTTGAAATGTTGATGCTCCACCACCACGGGCATTTGTTGGGGTGATCTCTTGCTAATGCCCAAACCACTTGTCGCAGCGTTGCTCGAATCCGTTGGCAAGTTCGTAATGTTCGATGAGAGTTCCAACAAAAATGTTGCATTCTCCCGCATTGTGTTGTATATATCCGAGTTGGCAATGAGTGTTGTGGTCTTAATGCCAAAGAGATTCAGTTCGCTGCACTGACCTCCAGCATTGGTGTTGTTCAAGTTGTTGGTGTTCTTGTTGGTTGAAATATACTTGTCACGGCAGGCATCACACATCAGGAACCAGCTGGACGCCCCTTTGCCTCCCTCGCCACAATTGCCAGCCCAGCCTTCACAGAAAATACCCACACTATTGTAGCCCTTACCCTTGGCCGATTTTCCACAACCCGGATGCACGATACGCATGTGATAGGTGACCGGTATGGGTAGGAATACCTGACATATCTCACACCACGAACCATCATCCTTTTTCTTCTTGGACTTTTTCTCTCTCTCCTTGTCCTTGGGAGTTTGTTTCTCCTTTGACTCGCCATTACCCTCGCGATTGGAAAACTTCTCCTGACTCAAGGAATTCGACTGGACAATGTGCACACAATTTGAGCAGATGTGTTCCCAAAGGTAGACCAAGCTGCGCAAGGCTGGTGGCAGCACCGTCACCACTTCGGGCAGAGAGTGTAGTTTTTGTTTCTCTCCCACATCGCCAGCTTCACCGGAGTCATTCGACAATCCCTTGCGATATTTCCGATTATTGACGGAGAAATTCCCCGTCTTGGTGAGCGTCTCCAAAGTTGAGGGTCGTATGTTTAAATAGTTGCCGGCATTGGCCACCTCCACGGAGTGCCTTTGCTGGGCCTTTTGCTCCTTCGACAAATGTTGTCTTCCCTCGCCATGATCACGCCGGGTAACCACTGTGGTACCCTCCTTGGGTAAATTTGGATGGAATTTCAAAAAACTAGCACAGGCCATGGCGTCATGGACAATTCCCTCATGCCACAGGAAGGCTGCAAACACCGCTCGAATACTCTCCGCAAATGAGGGTGGCATGGCCCTCTTTATGGGACCCATGGTGGTTTTCTTGGCTGCTGCCTGGGGCATGGATTTGAAAAAAGCATTTTGTGTGGCACTTTCTGGCCATATTGGAGGACTGGAGTTCTCAGTACTTGCCGTGGACTGTTGGGCACTGCGGGCATCTCCGAAAACAATTTGATCCTGGACCACCACCGTGCCACCACTGCTGGTCGAGGAGGTGGTAATTTGCATTAGACTCATTTCATCTTCCAAATTGGAGATGTCCGATTCCTTCAAACCTCCGGTCTCACTGGCCAAACTTGAGGCTCCCAAAGACGTGGCCGATTTCCTTGAACCTCCAACGCGCCGTGGCGAATGTTTGGGGGTGCTGAGCAAGGCCGCCGTTTGGCTGGGGGTAAAATGGGTCTTGCGCATATTAGCCACATCAAAATTGCCCACATCCATGTTGGAAGTATCCTGGGCCAGGGTATTATCCATATTCTCCGCCAAGCGTCCTCCCTCCTCGGTGGCCTGCTTAATGGGGCTGCAGGAGCGTTGTGAGCCATTTCCATTGCTGCGACTGTCTTGACCACCCATTACCCGCACCAATTCCCTCACCGACACCGAAGCTATTTCTCCCACATCGGAGGGCTTAAAGGAGTAATCCCTACCCGAATTGGGTTCATTGTCGCCCTTGAACCATTTCTGCAAGGCCTGCAGTTTTATGGCTCCTCCACCAACCACCCCGGCAATGGCTGAACCAATAGGATTGGTGGCGCCCGAATTGCCAGCAGCAAAGGGATCATCTTTTTCCCCATCACCCACCACACCGACAAACTGATGCTGATCATTTGCCGAATTCTTGGATTCTGTATCGGCACAAATAAAGGGATTGGTGGACACATGGGGAAACTCCACAGCTTTGGGAGTATTTGTTGCAAAATCAAATACCTTCTTTGCCTCCGCCGACTTTGAATTGGGCGAAGGCGACTCCAAGGTAGCATTTACCGGTTCCAAATTATCCAAAATGTCACGTTGCCTATTCCGGGCTACATCTGGCACCGCCGGCAATGGGGACATGGGCTGGCTCTCCATACTCATGTCATTGGTGTTACTCTCCCTTGTTGTTGAGGTGGCATTCTCCACCACGGGATGCAGTAATGTTTTACCCAAATGTTGATTATACTGCAAACACCAAGCCTCCGTGGGATACCAACCCATGGCACAGTGTTGCCTTATGGATTCCGTGGAGAGCCGTAACCACACACCATCATCATTTTCGATTTCATCAATAAACGAGATTACGCCATTCAGTTTGATCACTCCCACCTGTTCCGATTGCAGCGTGGGATGGGAGCGTATCCTCAAACCAGCTGTATTTTCCGTATAGAACTTCCTCAACTTATTTGGAGTGTGATGATTCTTCATGACACGCTTGTGGGCCGGTGGTGGTACACTGCCCTCCTTGACTTCGACGCGATATACTTCCTCCAACAAAATTCCATCGATATTCACGGTTAGACAATAGCTTCCCACAGCATTCGGGGTCCAGTGGACACTGAAGGTTCCATCCTCCATATCTTGGGCAAAGAGGGTCTCCGTAACTCTGGTCTGTATGGGACTATTGTAGCGTAACTCCTCAAAGGAATAATTGTTGTATGGCTTCATAAAGGTAATGGCCTTGAAGCACATTTTCTCCTTTATGGTGGGTTCGTAATTCTGACGTGGCGGCGGAGCGACACCACCGAAATATGTATCCGACTGGGAAGCACGTCGCAACTTCACATTGCCATTTCCCATAGAGCCAGTGGGTATTGCCTTGATTTCCACCTGAAAAAATTAAAGGTGAAACTCATGAGAATGCTTTCAGGATAATTTTCTCTAAAATTTCAAAAAATAAACGTATATTTAGCCTGGCTGGATAGGGTTTCCCCAGTCTGAATTTTTTGAAAATAGGAAAACTTCTATTCAAGCTGGTCTGAATAGGGGTTTCCCTATAGCAAAACCTCCATTCAGCCCGCTCTGAATAGAGTTTTCCCAAAAGAAAACGTCTTTTCAGCCCGGTCTGAATAGGGTTTTCCCCAGTAGGAAAACTTCTATTCAGGCCGGGTTGAAGATATGCCCAATTCCCGGTCGGAATAGGGGATTCCCCGTTTAGGAAAACTTCTATTCAGCCCGGTCTGAATAGGGTTTTCCCCTTTAGGAAAGCTTATATTCAGCCGGTCTGAATAGCGTTTCCGCCTTTAGGAAACTTTTATTCAGTCTGGTCTGAATAGGTTTTCGCCCTCTAGGAAAACTTATATTCAGCCCGGTCTGAATAGGGTTTTCCCCATTAGGAAATCTTCTATTCAGCGTGGCTGAATTGGATTTTTCCCATTAGGATCTGAATAGGATTTTCCCCATTAGGAGAACTTATTTTCAGACCGGTCTGAATAGGGTTTTCCCTATTAGGAAAACTTCTTCTAAGCCCTGTCTGAATAGGATTTCTCCTATAGGAAAACTTCTATTCAGCCCGGTTTATCATAAAAAAAGGAAAAAAAACACCTAAATTCGGCCGGGCCAAACTTTAAATACCCTCTACATTTAGAAAAAACTTGAAACAAAAACAAAAAAAAATCCGGAAACTACCATGCAACCGTTATATGGAGACTACACGAAGATTTTGACCTGCTTATGAAATTTTTTCTCATAGGCTGTAGTATCCATTTCGAACTTCAAATACGAAATTTTAAATAATTCCGGTAAAAAAGTCGCTAAAATCGTCAAAATACCGAATATCGGGTTGTACTGTTATAAGGGGGCTATACGAAGACGTAGACCTGCAAATACAAAATTTGAAATAATTCGGATAAATAATGTCTCTAAAATCATGAGAATATCAAAAATCGGGAGGTACCGTTATATGGGGGCAATACGAAGACATGGACCTGCATACGAAATTTTTTGCCATAGATTGTAGTACCCATTACGAACTTTAAATACGAATAATTCCGATAAATAATGTCCCTTAAATCATCAAAAAAATTAATATCGGGAGGTACCGTTATATGGGGTCTATAGGGAGACGTGGCCCTCATGCAAACATTTTTGTCATCGGCTGTAGTACCCATTACGAACTTCAAATACGAGATTTAAAATAATTCCGGTAAATAATATCGCAAAAATCATGAAAATGTCGAGTATCGGGAGGTACCGTCATATGGGGGCTATACGAAGACGTGAACCTGCATACAAAAATTTTTGTCATAGGTTGTAGTAGCCATTACGAACTTCAAATACCAAATTTGAAATAATTCCGTTGTTTAATGTTGCTGGAATCATCAAAATACGAAACCGTGGACCACCATGGCCCATTTACGAACATAACCTGAACGTCTGTCTGTTGTAATCACGCTTTCTTTCGAACGAATTGAGATAGAAGGCTAAAATTTTGCACACATGTTTATTTTGTCAATAGGCAGGTTAAGTTCGTAAATGGGCTATGTAGGTCCATCTTTTCATATAGCCCCCAAATAACGGTACCTCCCGATATTCGGTATTTTGATGATTTTAGCGACATTATTCACCGGAATTGTTTTAAATTTGGTATTTGAAGTTCAAAATGGATACTACAGCCTAAGACAGAAAATTGTCTGTGCAGGTCCACCTCTTCATATAGCCCCCATATAACGGTACCTCCCAATATTCGGTATTTTGATGATTTTAGCGTCATTATTCACCAGAGTAGTTTAAAATTACGACTTTAGAGTTCGTAATGGGAACTACAGTCGCTGACAGAAAATTGTCTATGCACGTCCAGGTCTTCGTATAGCTCCGATATAACAGTACCTCCCTATATACAGTATTTTTATAACGGATATATTTGGCATTTTTAATATTTTAACAGAATTTGTAAAGGATTTTATTTTTTAACAATTTCCAAATTCGTTCCAAATGCTGGAGGGTATTCAAGTTCGGCCCAGACAGACTTACTGCTTTTTAAGTTGTTTTTTTCAGGTTAGCTGACTATTCGTTTGGTTTCTAAAATCTTTCGTGACAAACCACATTTGATATTAATCAAACATTCCAGAATACCTTACTTCCGGAATTCCCCAAAGTACACGCATGCACCTATCTCCCCCCTCTTACCTTTAATTCTGGTACCACAATAGCATCCCCATATTGATCCCTTATGGTTACCGTAATTGGTGTGGGCCAACCATAACGCAACGGTTCAGTGATTGTATTCAACTCGCATCTATAAAGCGTAAAAGAGAGAGAGAGGATGGGGGGTTAAGAGAGAGAACAGTGAAAAATTAAGAGTTATTGTTTTCAAACTGAATGTTGATTACATGCCGTTAACAGGTGTAACGGAAGAGGGGGTATGGAGCGTTGGGTGTTACACCACAGGTGGTGAATTAAGTTGGAGAGCTGTATTGTCGCTCTACTTACTTGTTGGGGTCCAGACGCGGTTCTGGTTGCAACCATGCTGCCAGGCGTGCTCCAGACGATCCAGGAGCTCCACTAATGAAATCTTTCAAGAATTGCCGCTCATTCGATTGAGAACTGTAAAGAAGAACGTTAAACAAAACAAATCAATTAAAAAGTCATTTTAGGAAAGCAAGAAAAGAGAGGGAGAGAGAGTAGAGAACTCTAAAGACGTTTTGGGAGAATTTGGAAGATATTAAACCTAAACTTAAATTTCATTATTACAGAGCTGTAAACAATGTGTTTCCAAAATAAATTAACCAAAAATCCAAAAACAACAACAAGGGTATTAAATATTACCCATTTTTCATTTACCACCAGAAATGTTATCAGTTATTGAACCCCTTTTGCCTGCAATGCATGTTGCGGTCTATTTGTTTGGTTTGATGGCTTCCCTGCTGATCGTTGGCTGGCTGGCAGGTCGGCCTGCCTGCTGCTCTATGTGTAAAACACATGGCAAGGTTGGTATAATAGATAAATGGATTTGTGATTATTTTTCCCAATTGGCTACCTGATATTTTACTCTGTTTTTTTCTCGCTCTCTGTAGAGTCATGTTAAGTCCTGTTTGTTTTGTAATTTTGTGTTCCGTCACCGAGCGTCCAAGCGATGAATGAATGAATGATTTTTTTCTTATTGTCTAGGCCAGTAAGACAAACAAACGACCACTAAGTAAATCCACATGAGTGAATGTGTGACTTTGTAACAAATATGTATGTCTATATTTAGTGGAAATCAATAAATACCCTTGCAGCAGCAACAACAACAACGATAATGGTAATAACCTTATCTTACGATAATTCCATAGGGGCATTCATTGAAGCGAGTAATGCAAATACAGCAGTCATGCACGTTACAGCTCAGGACAAATTATGATAAGACTATCGTAGAAAAATAACAAATATTTAAAAAAAAATAACAGTAGGCTTAAATTTAAGTAAACAATATTTGCTCCATTGGAAATATATTTGAAATTGCCGCGCATTTTGAAATTGATTTCGGTTTTAAATGTCACATCATAAACCAAACGGGAAATTATGTTCATACCATCTGAATAAAAGGTTGAAATTCAGTCAATCTGAATAAAAGTTTATCATGGAAAACACTTTTCAGCCAAAGCGAATAGACATTTCTCAATGAGCTAAGCCACACTGAATGGAAATTTTCCTGTAGAAAACCCTATTCAGCCACGGTGAAAAGTGAAAGAAAATAAAACAAGTAAATTAGTATCGGTCGGCTTTGCAGACTGATGTATACACCCGGCCTTGAGTTATGATAATTGAAACCCTTTATTGGGGAAAATCCGAAGCAGTTGGCCAATATTAGGTCAATCTGACCTAAGTCTGATATAAATATTACAACGTGCCATATTTGGAATATATCCACTACTTCCTATACTTTATATGGGATATGTGCAAATTTTTTGGAAAATATGCGTGAGAAAATATATATAGCGGCCCGAAGTATTCCATTGTGGTGTCTATGGATATGTGCAAAATTTGAAGGAAATCAAACATTTATATCCAATTCTATGCCTATATCATAAATTTCGATAAATTACATATTTATTATCAGATTTCTGGTTAAGAGAAATATTTAGATATCGCAAATTGTAAAGAATCGCCGACTTGTTTCACAAGTTATGACACATATAACTATTGGAAATTGTGACCCTTTGTGGGTGAGGTATCAGAAAGGGTTGGCAGCAAAAATATTTGGATTTGTGAAATTTGAAGAGTTTTGAATATTTTTTCGCTTTTTTTGAGCGGTTTTTCAAAATATCCCCTATGTGGGGGAGCTACCAGAAGAAATGGTCCGATCTCTACCATCTTCATAACAGATCTTGTGTTGGTGGAAATATTGAGGTGTGGTAAGTCTTAATAGAATCGGATGTTAATTTCCTGTTTTATGAGCTTCATGAATGTTCAAAATGTTGCCCCTTTGTGGGGGAGGTACCAGAAAAAGTGGAACGAACTTGTGTAGAAATAATGGGATGTATGAAATATGAAGAGAACCGGATACTTATTTCAGATTTTATAATCGTTTTGGTTATTCAAATTTTCGATTTTTTGTGGAGGAGGTACCAGAAGGAACAGTCCGATTTCTACCATCTTTATAACACATCTTTTGTTGATAGAAACATTGAGATGTGCCAAGTCTGAATGGAATCGGACATTAATTTCCTGTTTTATGAGCTTCATGAAGGTTGAAAATTTTGACCCTTTTTTAGGGGGTACCAGAAGGAGAGGCCCGATATATCCCATCTTCACACCAGACCTTGGGTTAATAAAAAATATGGTAATGGGTGTAATTTGGAGACAATCGGACACTTACATTACATTTTATAAAAGTTATAATCACTCAAAATGTTGACCCTTTGTGGCGGAGGTACTTGATGGAGTGGACCGATATTGTCGATTTTTGCATCTTACCTAGGACTGATAAAAATATAAGGTATGCCAAGTTGAAGCAAAATCGGACTGTACTTTCTCTTTCTGTGCAGTAAATATTTTTTTGAAAATGTTAGCATTTTATGGGGGAGGTACCAGAAAGAGTGGACCGATATTGCCCATCTCCGAACTTGATCTAAATTTAATAGTAATATTAAGATGTACCAACTTTGGATCAAATACTCCCTTCGAGAGTTATCATGCGCACCAGACATCCAGACATACAGACGGACGGCGGACATCGCTAGATCGACTCCAAATGTCCTTAAACGGATTTGATCCAAAGAGACCTAGGGTCTAAAACCGTTATTTCGTTGAGGCACGTTTTGGCCGAATCAAAGAAGCTAAGTTCGTCCGGGCCGAACTTTTAATAGCCTCCACGAACTTAAAACATGAAATTTAAAACAATTCCGGTAAATAAATCATCAAAAATCAAATAAAGATATCGGGGGGATACCGCCATCGTAAACCTATTTACACAATTTTTCGTCAGATTGATAAGAGCTTACTAAGAACTGAACACATCGGATTCCAGTTAAATTCTTCGAAAAATGTGGCTAAAAACATCAAAATACCGAATATGGGAGGGTACTGTTGTATGGGGGCTATACGAAATCGTGGACCTATATAGACAATTATCTTCCAGGGGGTAAAGTACTCTGAAGGAACTCCTTGTGCAGATTTCAGACAATTCCATTGAAAATATGGCAACAATTACAAAAATACCGAATACCTGGGAGTACCGTTACATGGGGGATCCACGCAATTTTTTGTCAGATTGTTAAGAGTTTATTTAGAACTTAAAACTTCGGATTCCAGTCAAATCTATCAAAAAATGTTGCTAAAATCATAAAAATACAGAATATCGGGAGGTAACGTTGTATGGGGGCTATACGATATCGTGGACCGATATAGCCCATCTTCGAACTTGATCTGCCTGCAGACAAAAGGCTGATCTGTGCAATATTTTAGCTTCCTATCTTAATTCGTTTTGACTCTAGCATGATTACAACGGACGGACAGGGAATAAATGCAGGGTGAAATGAAAAAACTGCAACCAACTTCAGACTGCTGTAATTTTTAAGCCACTCGTCCGACAGCTGTCAAAATTATTCCAATGACGGCTCATTATATTGCTTACAAGTGTACAAAAGCATATTGGGTGAGAATTTTCCAGAAAAAAAGTTATTCGTGATGGAATTCAAGCGTGATAGTGTGATTTCTTTATAATTGGCTGGAAAACAACGAGTGGTTACCGTTAGAGCACTCCAGCATTTAAATGTCAATAAATCTTTTGTGTTTCGTACCATCGCTCGTAACCGTGATACTGATATTGGTAGCATAGCCCGATATCAAGGAAGTGGACGGAAGAAACCAGCAACATCAGCAGAAATGTTTCGAAAAGAAAAGAATCAATTTAATCAAACCCCGCGTCCCAGTGGCCGAAAATGGCTCGTGAGCTAACCATATCGTAATATTCCATTCGGCAAATATTGAAAAATGAGCTCGGGGTAAAGCAAATAAAATTCCAAAAAGTGCAAGAACTTTCGCCGCCACAGAAAGAAAATAGACTCAAAAGAACTAAAGAGTTGCTTCGCTTGGCCGTAAGTGGTAAACTGCCGAATTTGGTTTTCTCCGTCTCCGATGAGAAAACATTCGTTGTCCAGCAGTTTGCAAACAAACAAAATGATCGTGTTTACTTGCCAAAGAGGTCAACGGAAAATGTGCACCTTCGGTTGGCCATCAGAACTCAAGGGCCGGCCATGGCGATGGTGTGGTCCGCCATAACAGCCGATGGTTGTTCTCCGCTCGAATTTATCGACCGTGGCATCAGAATAAATGCTGAATATTATCGCGAAAATATTCTGGAGGGGGTATTAAAGCCTTGGACACTCAAACATTTTGGCCGCAGGCCTTGGACATTCCAACAGGACTCAGCACCATCGCACTCAGCACGCGCCACCCAAGAATGGTTACAAAATGAGGTTCCTCGCTTCATTTCCAGTGCACCAAAATGGCCACCAAAATCTCGGGATACCAATCCGTTGGACTATTGTGTCTGGAGTATTTTGGAAAGCAAGGTTGGCACCAAAAAAAAAAAAAATATCATAGTGTCGATCACCTCAAGCAAGCGCTTCGCCGGGAATGGGCCAAAATACCGCAGAGCAACATTCGGGCAGGGTGTGACGGTTTCATTGGCCGTTAGAAGGCCATAATTCGTGCCAAAGGTGACCAATTCAAAGAAATCTAAACTCATTCTAAAATTTGATGCTATTTCCGTAATTATACCCTACACCACATAGTGGTAAGGGTATTATGTCTTTGTGCATTTGTTTGTAACATGGAGAAGGAAACGAGATAGACCCATAGTTACTTTTGAGAACCTTCATAGAATCACTTTCTGAGTCGATTTATGCATGTCCGTCCGTCTGTCCGTCCGTCCGTCCGTCTGTCCATGTATTCTTGTGAACAAAATGCAGGTCGCATTTATTATCCGATTGAGATGAAATTTTTCAAACAATATTTTTTTGGCCCAAGGACGAACCCTATTGAAATTGGTGAGAATCGGATCAAATTTAGATATAGCTCCCATATATATCTTCTTCCGATTTCGGGTTAAATGTGCACCA